TTTTTTTTTTTTTTTTTTTTTTTTTTTTTTTTGCACATTTGATTTATGAACACCTACCGAATAACTAGAAGCTTTTTGTTTCTCTAATTGTTCAATGGAAAAATTTTTAAAGATGCAATACAAACACTGTAAGCGGTTTGTTTTCAGATTTGAAAATGTTTTGGACCATTTTATTGTTGGTTTTTTGGTGATTATTGTCGCCATTGTACCGCAAGGTTTACCATCAATGGTAACTTCGCAGTTAACGATTGTTGCAAAAAAGATGGGCGAAAAAAATGTTTTTATTAAAAAATTGGATGTAATTGATGAACTTGGAGCTGCTACAGTTATTGCTGCAGATAAAACTGGAACTTTGACTCAGAATATGATGATTGTCACCAATTTGTGGTACAACAAACGTCATCATATTGGTAAATGCAGTTTTAATCATTATCAAACAAACTTTTAGAAAGTAAAAGTGGCGAATGAAATAACGTGTTTATTTTTCATAAGCAGAAGTAGGTTTCTTTTCACTGGTAAAAATGCTTTGTGCAAATAATGACGCTGTTCACTGTTAGCACTAAAGACTGTGAATTTAAGGCTATGGTGATTTAATGGTTTCTCAACCGAGCGGGCGATATGATGGTAATGAAAAATTGGAATCACCGTTACCTGAAATTTTAACTGTAATGAGTATCTGCAATCGAGCACAGTTAGAAGGTGTTCGAAAATCAGCTCGGCGTGTTCAACAGAAGCTTCAACGAAACAATCTGATGAAGGGGCCGACGTTGAAAAAAAAATTTACTGTCATGTTAGTTTATATTTAATTTTTGAGTCTTTGATGTTTAGCTTTCGTTTGGCTTCTTAATGCTTATTATATAAAATTTCATCAGAAGAATAAATAGCTGAAGATAATATTATTTTACTAACAGTTTCCAGCGATCCAAATACGGGTTGTGAATCGGTACGAACGGGTACAAGCGAGGTGATAAACAGCGCAAGCCATCAAGGAATTTTTGACTTTTCAGATAAGGTTATTTTTGTTTTTGTTGCTAAACGTGAA